CTTCTTCTTCTTCTTCTTCTTCTTCTTCTTCTTCTTCTTCTTCTTCTGTTATCTAATGGCGGTTGGCAAACAGCTTTAGGTGCATTACCGCCACCTTCTAGACTGGAGTGTGGATCAGAACGGCCCCTACCTACTACTACATTAAAATAACCTCACTCAGTTCACATTATATTGTTTTGCTCAGTCCTGTACTGTCTAAAAACCTAAGACATGTTCTGTATACTATATCCACTGAGCTTTTTTTCCAACACCTCCGGGGATCATGTGGCATAAAGTAAATATTAGTTTTTTTTAAACCAATTCACAGAATTAGTGAAATGCCTGCCAGCATATTTCTCCTTTCATTTCATTAAAATCATAAATGAAATAAAACATTTGTGAACATGCACTTTTTATTTTTTTACTTGTAGGATAAATGTTGTAGGCCTTTCGTCATAGTTTCTTTGATAATGGGCTACTCTGAATTGTGGATAATTTAAAGTGAACTTATGTTCCTTTATTCAGGATCTGAGGGGGTTTTTCCAGATGTGTTTCTGTTCTAGCAGAAGCAGTTTTGGTGGCTAGCAGGAGACAAATTTTGTTAACAACTAAAGATGATCCTAGCTATAATCTCTCTCTCTTACAGATGATCTCCTGGCTGCTGGTGAGGCTGAAACATTTGACTTTGTCTTCATTGATGCAGACAAGGTTAACTATGACAACTACTATGAAAAGTCTCTGAAGCTGGTGAGAAAAGGAGGCATCATTGCTATTGACAATGTAAGGGCTTTACCCAAGTTAAATATTTTTGTTCTCTCAGTGATAGCTAAAGCAGCTAGTCCTATAAACCAATGTTTCCTGCAGGTGCTGTGGGGTGGGAATGTGCTGAATCCAGCCCCTGATGATGCAGACACTGTGGCCATTGACAAGCTGAACAAGAAGCTGCATACAGATGCACGTATCAGCCTGAGCATGCTCACGGTGGGAGACGGGCTCACACTGGCTATCAAACTCTAGGACAGGCCTGATAACCGTAGTGATTCCTAGGCTTTGGATGACATTTCCTGCGGTCTATGAAGGTAGCTGAAATATGTCAGTACTGCTGTCTATGCACAGGTTAATGAGGAAATTTATGGAACCAATATCATTACTTGAGAATCTGTACTCACCTGAAGAGAATTCAATCTGTTAGAAGTGTAGCAGTTTGATGAAAAAGATAATTTTCTTAATAAAAAAACACAGTGCATCCCATTTGTTTTTGAGTGCTTTATTATTTAACTAAACTGCTTTCATGCCATTCTCTCTGCTGCCTAATTAGCGCTGTAGTGAGATTAAAGGAGAGGACAAGGATTGATTTCAGGACTTTATTGCAGAGGCGGAGACATGCCAACACGCAACTGGTTTCCTGATTAGGGTCACTGGACTCAAAAATAGAAACAAAAGTGGATGATTCACACTGATATTCTTTCACTCGAGTCACACTGAGGAAAATAAAAATCGATTTAGCATTTTCTTACAACTTAAAAGCAGAAATTCAAGGTAGTGGGGATCTAAAACTCATCACACAGCATAATTAAGCTTCACATGGGAAGTAAATGAAGACCAGCCAATAGGTGAGCTTCTGTCTTGACAAGCACATTTTGTTTGGGCAAGCCTTCCTATTGGCAGACCACTGCTTCAAAAATCTAAATAAATTATGCAAATAAAGTTAATAAGAAACTGCTTAAATAAATATATATTGTACTCTACTGTGCAAAATAACTCCAGATTTACATTCTACATTAGCACACTTAAGCAAAATAACAGGGTTCTGTTTTTGGAACGACTCCTGGATTGTCAGTGAAGCCAACTTGCAACACCCAGAGGAGGGTTTTTCATTATGGAGGATAAACTGTCAGAGGGCATAACTAATCAATAAATACTGTACATGTGACTAATACATGACTAGTTATTGTAACCACTATGAAAGGAGGATAGTGCCATTTGAATGGCAGGCTTCTTCTTTTGTTTTGGCTTCAGCTCTTTAAAATGTTTCCTGCTGCCCAGACATGAACACTGACAGTCAGATTCAGCTGATATTATCATTCTTATGAAATAGCGGAGCAGGTCTTCACGCCTCCAACTCCAGGCCCAGACCTAGTTTGTGACCACCAGTGTTGATATTCTTTCCATCGACCAGTGCCGAGAGCTGAAGTTTCATACCTGAAATAAACATTTTATATACACATTTCAAACTGAGAATAGGTCAATGATGTTTAGTAACTTTCAACTGCGTTTTAAAGAGGGGTCGTACCAGGCCGCAGAGTCTGGGTGTATCCGATTCCTATCAAGCTGGAGTTATTCACCTTAGCCTGGAAAAAACATTAAATGATTGAACTACAAAGCACTCAGTGAGCACATCCATTCACCAGGGTTAGCTGCACTAACCCTAATGAACGGCAGATTCAACAACAGGTCGGCTAAGAAAACAGATTTGCACTATTGCCCCCCCCCCTGTGTTAACATAAACAAATTTCATGGGAGTCTTGACTTAATATTACACGGCATTTTTCAGTTTCACGATGCATATTGCCACATTTTCAATCATGGTATATTATTCCATGATACACTGTTACAAGCCTACTGTTAACACATTTTAAGATACCTTGCTGACAAGCAGGAAGGAAAACATGACTCCCATGGGAGAGGTTAAAAGAAGAGACTTACTGATATAGAGGCACTGGAGTCTAATTGATATTTGGCAGCAATTCCAAAGCGAGTACCGTTGCTGCCAGCTGTCCAGGCAAGATTCACAGCAGTCTCCAGTTTGTCGTTTACCTTCTGGTAAATGGATCCACTGAACTCAGAACCATCATTTCTGGAAAAAGCAAAAGATGTTCGACATCCCTTGATGTCAGTATTCTTCAAACAACCAGGCAAAAATGCCACATGATCAATACAGTAGATAGGTAAGTCCTTTGGTGAGCTAGTCAAATATGTTCAAATATTTGATGATGCTAAAACATACACATTAGTGTGGAGCTGGAAGTCCCCAGTCTTGTAGCCAACTGCAAAGTTGCTCTGGGTCATCTTGGATTTGGCTGTGTCAAAGGTCATCTGGCAGCCAGCAAGCCAGCCCTCATAGCCAGCCACTGCAGCACCATGGATAGTAGGATCAGCGAAATCTAGATCTGCATCAACACCAACATTAATGTATTCCCTTTTATAAGCTGCCTTGACCTTGCCACTCTTTTTGCTGTGAAATTAAAACAGTTAAAAATGTGAGAACAGCGTTCATTAGGCAATGACTGCATGGCAGGATTTTCTATTTAACTATAGCTTACCCAGTATTTGGGGAAAATGTCGTGTCAAAAGTTAGTTTCAGGCCTTTAGTGATCTAAAGAAAAAACATTTCATCAGCCACACTTACTTTAGAGCTATGTCGTCATCAACAATATACGAGTTTTCAGTTTACCTGATCCTCAACACAAACTTCTGTCCCAAGTGTGTTTTCTGTGGTCCACTTCTCTGTGAATGTCAGCCCATACTCGGCCCACTTGTACTTGGTTTCTAAGGTTCCAGTGACCTTGTGGGTGTCTACGTTGGATGAGCCAGACGTTTTAAATTCCTGAAGTGAATACAAGAGGAAATTAATCCTCCAGTATCTGAAAACAATTTGAGCTGGAGAAGTTCTTCATCCATCACTGGCAGCTGGAATAAATTTAGGATTTGAGCTCAAGAATGATGAAAAAGTAATATTAAAAAAAATCTTTTTTGGCATGTTGGTTCAGCTGTTACTTATCATATATGCTTATAATGCTAGGTTACTCTATTATTACACTAGTAAAAGCAGATGTCTGCAATACCTAACAGTATATTTACAGTACAACAGTTAAACTCACCACTCCATTTGAAGATGTTGTCTTCACATCAAGTTTAACCAGTCCAAAACCTGCAAGGAGAATTACAGTAAAAACCTTCTGAGCTTGTTAATGCATTTCAAACATCTGGCCTGTGCTCTGGGAGTCAAACTGCCTTTTATGTAGCTTCCAGTTACCATATCCTTTATTGAAGATGTCCTTTGCCGATTTTCCAAGGTCTACATATGCTGGAGGAATTGCCATTATGCCTGACACAGAAATGACATTTCAGAGATAAATGGTGACAAAAGACACATAAATGGATTTACTGATAAAAACTACACATGCACACAAAGCTCAGAAAAACCTGTAAATTAATGAAGCCTTCAGACATGGTTTAATTGCCACTAAGATGGCAGGAAATTGGGTATTATAACCACCTAGGGTGAATTTACATTCTGTGATTTCAAAAACGAACACACACACTGATAGGCAGAATTTGTTCTCTTTAGACTCAGGTTGTCTTAAAGTGACTACTTTAGGCCAAGTGAACAAAGGTTTAAAAAGTAAATAACAGCCCATATTCCCCTCACCAGAATTTTATTTCTTGCATCATGGAGAAAACCTTACAGACTATAAATAGTCTTTTGGGGGATATACTTTAACAGTGACTGTACGAAATGAATACATTAAGTATGAAAAATCCAACTATTAAAGGGGGCATTGAGGAAAACTGACAGTATTCCAAAGCCTTTCACTACAGCCTCCCTACAATTACTGTTTTTTTGTTTGGATAATCTATAAACTCTAACATCATTCATTATATTAAACCGCCACTAAGTGCTGTTACTAGTACTAAAATATTCGTATTGCCAGACAAGGGCATGTTCTCCATTACTCGCACTTGATGCTGTCACGTCTCCTTATTGCCAAGGTTAAACTGGAGACTTGCCTGAAACACTTCACTGTCTGATTGCAGTAATTAAATAAATTAAACAACATACCCGACAACACGCTATTTAACACGTCTTAACGTCTTTTCCTGCATGAAAACAACAGATATATCAAAGAAGCAGTTTCGTGAATCAATTTTTATAAGTCTGTGGCGAATCTGTGAAACTGATGCACGTTGGTAATTTTTGCTATTCATGTAGGTGTTAACCTTTGCCAATGATAAGAAAGACTGCATAATCACTGTAGCCTGCCACTTTATGTTCAATGAGTTTGAAACATGCGAGTGTGGTAGGGGGCGTTTTCTAGTTAGTAGGCTAAATAGGACATCTCATAACCATCTGGCTAACATTTGGGTAAAAACACAACATGAACAACCCTAACAATACTAGGTCTATGACTTACCGAGTATTGCTGTTGTTGCTGTTGCTGTCAATTTGTGAAATAAAAGGGGAAACGGTAGCCGAGATTGGTGGAGGACGATAGAGGAGACACCGCAACAAACACCTTCCTGACCTCAGCGCCAGCAGGACCCCACACTATAGCTGTTTATTTTGTGCCTGATTGAAATCGGAGAAAGCGAGAATTCTGTAAATCAAAGCCAATTTATTTTGTTTCGGTTATTTTGTTACGGTTTCACAGCAATAAACTTAAGTCCTACTGTACAAGTGAACATTTTATGCCAGAATTATGCGACAAGTACTCCGGCTGGTGGAAGACTTCTAAATCACCATGTCAAGTCAAGTCAAGATTTTTAATTGCCATTTATGCATAAACAGACAGTCTAGGCATATAGGAATTCTTTTACAGCTCTCCTTTGGAGAGACATGACAGCCAACGTAGTTTTACTGATTAACCTTATATTAAAAAGGCAAAATGATAATGCACTATATATATATATATATAACAATTTATTATATTTAATGCTTACCTTTTATAGTACTTTGTAGCAGCAAATACTGTCCAACATTTATTTGCACAGTTCTTATGTAGCTTTAAGAACTTTTTTAAAATGAAAGGTAAAAGGGGGAGACACGAACAGACATCCAGATATTCAGTGGAACCAGAAAGGAACCTTATGTTACTTCTTCATCATTAATGCCATATTCATCACCCTTTAATTCATGTTTGCTCACCTTCAAAGGTTTGTTATCCGTTTTAATGTACAGCTAACAATTATAAAAACTGTTTATCTCTGTGTTTAAGACTATATCTTACACAATACCCAGCTATGATGTATATTATATTATGGCTGTGGGAAAATATAACAATTTCATTTTAATTTCAGATCTTTAATGATGGAAATGACTGAACATTACACTTAAATAGCACTGTTTCAAACAAATACAGTTAAGAGGAACTGTAAACATTTCCCAATGTGCATGTTGCTTTAACTTTGTATTTGAAATATAAAAATACCTATCACCATTTACAAAATGAAATAAATATAAACAAAATACATACATACAAATTGAAGGATCCTTTATAAAAAATGTTACTACAGATTAATGTCAAACTATTCATATCATGGAAATGAAATGAAATTATGTTATTGCAATGTATAATGACTTTTAAAAAGCACTATACAATTATCCAACAGTAAACATGGGTCTAGGACAGTTCTACATAGAGAAATTTACAGTAACACTCAAAGTAATTGGCAAAACTAAATATATTTAAGACAGCCAGATTTTCATTAATGCTTTTTATCCAGGCCAAATAAGGAAAAGGCAGATATGTTAACAATATAAACAAAAGAGTCAGTGTATGTTGCCATTTATACTTGGGTCAGCATTCAGTAACATTATCAAAATGTAAGCACAATCTCTGGGAATGTAGAAAACATTTATAACATCTACTTCTCAACATGATGAAAATTATTCCATACAGAAAAGAGCATTAGTGTAAGGTACATAACTGCTTTAACAGTAGTCAACAGAGCCAGGTTTTGATAAGTTTCAAAGTGAGATGTAAGACAAAACTTAGTCAAGAATCAAGATCCAAACGTTGAAACGTTTTTTCTTAAATTGCACAAGAAATGGTCAGCTGCTGTGAAGGATTAGATACACTGCCGCCTGAGAATTTTCTGACGTCGTTTCCTTTTATCGTGTGCTATCCAAATACCTTTTTTTTTATTTTTAGCTGGGAGGTACTGAAAAAAAACCTGTTCATGCTACACACAATGACAAGTGGAACAATGAAAAACCAACTAAAGAGACATATCCCTATAGTGTTCAGCTTTCAAATCAAGCAAAGAGTGATGAATGAGCTTTACAGGTTTTAGTGGATTTTGTTTAAACCAGCTAAAAATGGTGAAAGGGGAAACATGTTAGAAATCCCAGAACATAAGAAGGTATGGCTCTGTGTATCCCATCAGGCCTCAGTGCCGACAGGATTACATCAGTCGTCTTTTATGATGAGGATATCACAAACCTTCGCAGTTGGCAACTTGACAACGCAGACAAAACAGCACAGGCTAAGAAGTGTCTGACACTACCACTGCTGCTGCTGTTCATTATCCAATCAGCCTCCTCATCACAACAGGTCTAGAGAAGGGCCAGCAGTATTCGTTGGGGACAGGCCCATTGACATTACACTCAAAGAAGGAGAACATGGGGAACCAGATGCGGGCTCGTCGACTCTGCTGGTAGGCCCGGGTGTTGGCTAAAGTGTGGTAGTACAAGAAGAGCCTGGTAGTGATGTAGAAGGCTATGAACACGTCGATGGAGTAGTGTTCATGTGCAGCCAGGATGAAGAAGATGCCAAAGAGATTGAGGACCCAGGACAATGTGTGAATAAAGTTCCAGCTTCGTGGAGTGTCTGTGTAAAGGAAGCAAGAAGAGCAGTTTTGAATATTTAACTTGATTTACCTGTACTGTATATTACACCATCCAAAAACATAGCATATTTCGGTGTTACAGACTATTTTGCTCCAGTTAAACCTGGAGAAAAGGCTGTCTAATTTTTCAGTTTTAGTTGTATTACCAATATTAGACACTAGGTGACAACAAAGGGACACAGGTTCCAAATATGGTGTCTTTCTCCAACTCTGTCATAATTTTATCATTTAACCTCCTGATATCACAGGTTTAAAAACAGCTCAAAATTTCTTGTTTTTCATGGATGAATGAAACTTGACAGCCACAATAACATTTTAAAGGTTATTTTTAGTTTTATTTTAGTTTGCAGACCAAGTAAAAACAGAGCTTGTTTTTAGTGATTTAAAATTGTGTTCTACAAAGAAAAAAATACTGCTAATTTAAAATATATTTGGTTTATTGCAAAGACAGGGGAGGCCTCATAGTCACAATCTAACACTCCTCATAAATCTTGCCACATAAACCTTATGGTGTTCTTGAAGATAAACCATAACAAAAATAGGAAAAAAGTTCTTTAAGCACTCTTAAGCCATGGAGTAAGCAGTAGGTTTAAAAGCCTTTATTTAATCAGGCATCTCAGTAAAAACAATAACCAGTTTCAGCCTCACCAGGTCTCCATCAGGGCGTAAACATTAAGATAAACTGTTTGCACCTGGTACTCTTTCCATTTTATTTTTAGAGGTTCAGAAAAGCAAATAACTACAACAAATTTATATCATCGAATCTAATTGGCACATACTTAAAAGCAATTCCACACTTACAGTAAGAAAAGCTTTTTTTCTGAACCTGCAAAAACATCTTATAGAAGAGCAGCCACTACAAGAGATAAGTTGGTCCATAACTATGAATGGTTAATAAGCCCAATAAGTAAATATAAACTGTTTCAGTAGAAGCTACTGAACATACTATCAGAGGAGGTGTCTAAAAACAGCTGCAAAGAGAAATCTATTGGATTTTTAAATTTGATGCTTTAATATAGCCTGGTTTCAATGAAGAAATACATTACAAGACCTTTTAGTAACATCTTACATTATTCTCACTGAGGGGATTATATTATTTTGATAGAAGTTGAATTCTGTATGATATTGATGTCAATGTGGGGTTTGCTCTGTAGTGTTTGTTACGTCCGGGGCACCATCTATAAAGAGTACTGGGTGCCAGCGATACGTTTTCATGTTTCCACCCTGATGAGGTTGGATCCGGCAGGTGTTATTTACTGAGATGCCTGATTAAATAAAGGCTCTTAAACATACTCCTTGCTCCACTTAGGTTTACTGTTTAACAAAAAATCTGATCACAACTGCCAGTTGTGCACAATGTAATCTTTAAATAAGAATAAACATGGCTGAAAATCAAAATGATTAAGCAGAAATAGATGTGAACAGAACCCAAACACTAGTGGACAAACATAAAACTTAAAAAAAATCCTTCATCATCTAATAATCTATAAACATAACCTTTAACAGCCCTTAAAATCAGGGTCCTTAATGTCTAATGTTTGAAAATTAGCAACATTAGGGAAAGTTATTTAGAGCCTGACATACCATGAATTAAATAAGTTTAAGGGGCTTTTGAAATATAAATTTTAGCAGTTCTGATCCTCTTTGAATATAACATTACTCACACTCTGTGACAAAGAAGTTGAGCATGGTGAGGACCACGGTGTGGCCACTGAACATGTAGTCACCACATGTATGCACTCCTGTCAGGGTCATTCCAAAGCCACTCCAGATGGCCACAGCTTGCTGCAGTTTAGCCCACATGTCACCATACATCTAGAAGGAGAGAAGAAGTCACACTGTCAGTACTGCTCTTTCAAAGAAGCACAGATGTAATGTTTAAGATATTATCTACTAATTACCTTTCCTGAGCACTGCAAGTGCTGTCCTGGCACAGATAGGGAGGTGACAAACATGGTGATACAGCGCAGCATAAACACAGTCCCCATGAGGCTGCACATGCGCCGCAAAAGAATGGACCTGCAAGTCATGAGAGTGAACTATCCTGGGTCTTCCATTCTGAACACTGAATGTATCCTGCACAACAATCCCTGCAGTGACAGTACAATACAGATGTGAAAGGCTGGGAGGACTCTACCTGTGTTTATGGAGCAGAAGAACAAGCAGCCAGATGTTACAGAGGATCACTCCACATGACTCAGCCATGGCAAAGGCCCATGGTATTCTAGGCACACTATTGAGGAAAGAACAAAAAATAAAAATAAAAAATAATGCCCAACCAACTAGGTGAGCAACTGATCAACAGAAAATGTATCAACAACCATCACTTTGGCAAGATATGAATTGTTTGACTCTACTTAATTTCTGTTCAGCTACAGAACAGTTCAAGTGAACAGTTCAAGTGAGACTTAAACTATCAACAAAGGTAGGAAATGCAGAAAAAAACAAAAGGAATAAGCTAAATAAATTTTACTTCCATGACTAATGCAAATGTGTATTTCTCAAATGCACACTAGCATTTCCCTGAAATCAGTTCTCACGGTAAGATAAGACATTCTATGAAAAACTGTAAGCCGGCCAAAAACAGCAGGTCATAATACAAAGCAGGCCACTTTAAAACAACCAAAACTAAAGCAAATCTAGCCCAGGAGGAAAATGTGGGGACGAAAATAGAAACATGCTACAAGGGAGTAGGACAGCTAGCTAATGTCCACCATCTGCTGTGATATTCTGACAGCTGGTAAAAAACTAATTTTTCAATTTCACACTATCTTTGGCATTTCACAGCTGACTGTTTTTGATGTGTTTCATGGCACCGGTCAAAATAACATAAGGAGTGACTTAAAACTACATGTGAGCTGTCAGACTCACCTGTCTAGGAAAATATCTGGCAAAGGAGGGTAGGTACGCATATCAGGCACCCTCTCATGCACTATGACCATGACAAAGGATGTGAACCCAAACACAAATGCCACATAGATGGAGCTAAGCACTGTCTTCCAGTACTCTGGATCCAGACGCCTCATCTGCTGCTTGTACTTCCCATTGGTGTATTGGTTATACTCCTCTCCTACTGGTGCGGTGTCAGTGCTGTCACAGTCTCTGCCTGAGTCTCCATTACACAGCCAGTCCAAACTCCCTCCAGAGCCGGATGGAGAGTGACCATCAAAGGGAAGACCTAGCTCTTCCAACAAGTCGATGTTTTGTTTCTGTAGTTTGCGGACTGACACCATGAGTCGCTTGATGTCCCCCAGCACCTTGAGCTCCAGTGGTGGTGAGCGGAGATCGTACTCACTGAGGGCAAGCAGACTGGTGCCGTCCAGTCGGTGCTTGTTGCACAACAGGTCCACATAGTCACAGAAGCCCTCTTCCTTCAGCCACCTAGCGACATGTTTGGGAGTCCAGCGACGGACACTCAGTTGGATCATTTCGTCCTCACTCTGAAGGCTGGAAAGTGCAAAGCAAACAACTTCCTCACTGTCACAATCAGTTCCTTATTGACTTCCTCTGCAGCAACAAAGGAATCTTTAAGGGACATAGGCACTGTTAGGCACATTTTTATTTCCACTGAATCAGCAGTACAAATAAACCACAGCAACACTGAGAGCCAATATCTTGAGCATGACTCAATCATGTGTCATAAACAAAATAAAGGCAACTGCTGAGCTTCACAGATATGCAGATAATACATATCAGACTAATTGCCTACAAGAGGCAAACAAGGGCAAGTATATAGGTTTGCACAATCAAAACCACACCCTGTTAAATGTATGTTAATATTAGGTGAAAGAGCAGACACACTCCCCAAGATAGGTAGTGACTTTTTAATCTTTGTGTTAGTTATGGCTAATGCCTTGAGGGCTATTACTGTCTCTCTTTTTCCTTTTAATCACAAATCTTATTATTAGCCAACACTGTCCTACACACTCAACTGAAAACCTCTACTTTAAGCTTGACTTGGCAACAAAAACCTATCTCTCAACGTTCATGACTGCCAAGATAGTCACATCCATTTACATACAAGAGGTCAGTAAGTTTGCCCAGTAAAAAAATCATCCAAACCCAACAACCCACATCGAGGGCTATCAATTATTTTACTAACTTCTTGTGAAATAACTAGCCACGCTGGTTTTAGATGCTAAATGTAACTACAAGTAAGTTACACCAGTGTTAAACATGAAACCAAACCAAACCAAAGCATCTTCTCCTCTATCACAACAACCGTGCTCAGGAGGGTAATTCATTTCTAGCTAACGACTGCTAGCAAGCTATTAGCTAATTAGCTTGATCATCACATGTGCCTTACGCTGACTCACCCAGGCTGAAATGTAACAGAAGACGAAATGAAAACCTCTTTATTCAGCTAACTGGCTAAACGGCATCTCACCAGAATCTGAGGAAATCGTATAGGCGTTTGCTGCAATAACACGGGCTTGGTGAAAATCATTGCGCCTTAGCTTCCGGCTGGTTAGCATTGTGACATTGTTGACAACGCAAGGTCGTAATGTCCAGACTAACTGCGCACATAAATTCAACGACAATGCGCTTGAATGTGCTGTAGGTGGCCAACAACGAGCTCATATCCACCTTCTGGTGGAAAGGATGTACTGCAGTGTGGGTTGTGCAGTATTGGGGTTGTTAAAACGAAAAGCAATAAAGTCTTTGCGCCGTTAAAGGCCACAAAATGAGAAGTCTTGGTTATACATAAAATGCATTTCATAAGGATTTAGAGATGTGAGGCTGACCAACACTTAGAATATAGGTCAGTGTATTAATTTTAGACAGGAAACACCTGTCCTTGTCAGTACCAATGTGGTTGTATTAAAGCCTCAACTGAACTTGAACATAAATGTTGGGAGAAGAAATCAGACAAGTGGCAGAGTAGTATTTTCTTATGTAGGCAACTACAAATGTACAAAGGAACAATGAATAATGTGAAAGAAAATCGTGCAATTTCTCCTCCAACTCCTTTTGTGAAAGACTTGGCGAAGGTTTTGTATGGAGGAAAAAGGTTTGGCAATCATGCGGATGAGGTTTGGCCTAACCTGTTCATTGGCGACATGTAAGTCTATGACTTTGCTATTGACAGCCTTAAAATAAAATAACCATAGATTATAATATGCTTATAATATGTGTCTTATTATAATTCCTGTTTCCTCTGTACAGGTCAGTGGCCAATGATCGCTACAGTCTATGGAAGCTGGGAATTACTCATGTTCTGAATGCAGCTCATGGGAGGATGCACTGTCAGGGGAGTCATAGCTTCTATGGATCCACTGTTGATTATTATGGAGTGCCAGCAGATGACTCACCATCCTTTGACCTCTCTCCCTATTTCTTTCCCTCTGCTGAGTATATTCAGAAAGCACTTGACACAGCTGGTGGTAAATACCTATCATGTTGTTTTAATGTCAGTTTTTATGTCAGCCTCTCTGCAAGTCACATCTTATCCAGAATAAAATTCTACATTTAGCTAATACTTTAGGCTCATTATAATGTTATTTTTCACCAGCTCGAGTTTTGGTCCACTGTGCAGTTGGAGTGAGCAGGTCTGCCTCCCTCGTCCTGGCCTACCTAATGATTTGCCACCATTATACTCTAATAGAAGCCATCAATAAGATCAAGGAGCACAGGTGGATTTTCCCAAACATAGGATTCCTCAAACAGCTCCGTGCTTTGGATCTGAAACTACGCAAGACATCATCATGACTACTAAAAAATGAATTAATTTCCTGACTTAGAGAAACATAAACTAATCTTTTCCTCAAGATAAATGAAGAATTCGGTGTATGTCAGGGGAGGGAGATACTGTTCTTTGACTTCAGTCAGTTTGTTTGATATTAAATCAAATGTAGTTTCTTGACTCTGCTGCTGTGTTTGATGTGAATCACGCAGACTGCTTCACAAGATATTGATCTATATATTAATAGATCAGTGGAACCAACTTACCCTTACGACAGAATATTAGACAGGATGACTTATTTAACCTTTATACTGAAGAAAAATTACATCCATTGAGTTGTGGGCCACAAACACAGAATGCATTCACAGTTAAAGATCGCAGCAATGTTTTCTTGTGTGGGCACAAAACCATTCTTAATGACTAATTTGAAAACTCTACATTTAATTTACCCAACTTTACCCTTAAAATACATCATAATACCTAACAATCAAGTTGTCAAATTTCATTCATTGCATATGGCTTTATACATGTGTGGTACATCACAATGTTTGTGTTAGATGCCACTTTGAATCCTTCCTACCTAGAATTTAGAAGTAGCATATTCTGTTTCAGTTTGGTTTTTTCTGTCTTTAAAAGAAACAAACAAAGAAAAAACATGATGGTCATGCCTCTTCACATACACACAAAACCACACAAACTATATCTGGATACATGTTCAACAGCAGGTACACATCATATTCTCTCTGTTTTTATGAACAGACATACTCAGGTGGGATTTGGCCCATCTGTAAGCAGAAGCAGCACTTTAAACAATCAGTCATTCAATAACTGTCTCCAAAATGTCCCAGAGACAGTTAGTGAGTGTTTTTACATTCAACATCAGTACTGACATTTTACAATACAACACGGTGCCTACATTTTATGTACACATTTATGACCTTGGATGTGTAAAACTCATTACATTTCATGGCTTAAAAGAGAGGTTAATTATGTTTTTTTTTTTCAATGTAAAAGACAAGATGGGTGAAATTGACCTGCACCATAATAGGAGGGTTAAAAGCAACATTTGCAGCAGTGTGAGGGCTGTTTGATGTCATGTGCAGCCAAAGGCAAAGCTTAATTTTTTTTTTTCCATCCAATTTGCTTTCCTAAGATATTTATGTCAGAGCAGTAAAATAACTGCATGAAGCTGTTACAGTATTTCTGTTCTATAAACACTGTATTAAAGTGTGATCCAGAATAAGTAATACACTTTAATATTTTATTCACAATTACATCCAATTATCACTGCTTTATGGAATGATTCACCTCTGTTTGAGACTTTTTTCAAATATATTCCCACAGCAGTGTGAAAAGCAAAGCCCGGGCTGCACTATTTGTTGTTCTGTCCTCTGCACAAGTAAGACTACACGCTAGGTTAAGCACTAAATTGGGTAATCGTCCAGTGACAGCAGATAAACACCTGCTCGGGCAGATCATCCTGAGCTGGAGTAGACGGGAATCGCTTTTATACAGCATACAGTTGGACCAGTAATCAATCCAAGACAGACAATTTGGACTTAAAATGTCAGCCCTGAAAGACAAGAGGAAAGAATATCTAAGTGTGAAAGACCTACAGAAGGTTTTGGACTCATGCAAACTACATCTTAATCAAATTGATGAGGTCTGGCCAAACATATACATAGGAAATGTGTAAGTATATATTTCATTTTAAGCTCGCAAGGAAATGTGAGACCTTTTACTTTTAATGGTAAACACTTTCCAAAATTAATTGTCTTTGTCATAGCTACTGCCAAATATTGTATCACATAAAACATTGTGCTGTGATGGTTAGCATTCAAAACCTCTTTCTGTTTCTTTGTCTTGCTAGGGCAGTAGCCCAAAACAAGGCTGCCTTGCTGAAATTAGGTATAACTCATGTATTAAATGCTGCTCACTCCAAGCGAGGCAGCATAGGAAACCAAAGATTTTATGGCAAAGACTTTGTGTATTGTGGCATTCCAGCAGATGACTCGACACACTTTGATCTAGATGTGTACTTCCAGCCTGCAGCTGATTTCATTCATAAAGCTCTGAAGTCACCTGATGGTAAGACCTCTCAAGGTTGTTTTTTTTAACATTCACAATCTTATTTCTGCATGTTTTAATAATGTATCTCAGTAGCCTTAAAGACTTGCCCATCACATCTTTTTACTCCACAAATCCTTAATAAACCTATGCACTCCAATTCTTCCATCATGCTATACTTTCAATGTCACCTATCACCACAATGTAACACAACTTGCAATGGTATGTAAGTGTATTTTTAGCCAGCGGTAATAAGAGGGGTCTTACCTTGCAAAATTTAAAACTATAATGTGGCCATGGCCCTTTCAAAGAAGCTATCAAGTAGAGGACAAGTTGGGATTAAAGAGACAGTCGGGCCCAGTCTGCAAAGGGACCTTAAGTGAACAAAGGCGATGAATTGTGGGCACTATTTTTAGCTCACAGCAGGAAAAAGAAAGGCCAAAGAATAGGATGGGCAGTCATGTATGATATTAATAAGACTGAGGCCTCTCACTAATCCTCTCCCTTCTTCTTGTCTGTTCTTCAGGGAAGATTCTGGTGCACTGCATTATGGGAATGAGTCGGTCATCAACCTTGGTGTTAGCCTACCTCATGATATACCATCACCTACCACTCAAACAGGCTTTGTATAAATTGATCCAGAAGAGAGCCATCTACCCCAACAGGAATTTCCTGGCTTTGCTGTTGGATCTGGATCTTCAGCTGACAACAAAAAAGAAAACATGCCAGATCTTGTAATCAAGAGAAGTTCAACAATCCAGACGGAAATATTTCTACAGCTAATGGATAGTCATGAAATTTGGCTGAACTAATGACAGAATTTGTGTCAGAGCCAACTGTATGTTGAGATTAACACTAACATGTTTGCATGTTGAACATTAATTAAAAAAAAGAATGAAAAGGCTACTCAGCAGCTCAGGCCTCAGTTCTTTTATTAAGATGTTAAATGCTGACATGTAACATATTAACATGCTAAATGTTAATCAAAGGAGGCAAACTCCACACAAGCATAACTACTTGAATTTTTTTGTACTATGGTATGTAACAATGTTAAGCACATTTCGCTGTTTCAAGTCTTTCTAAATAGTAACATTTTACACTAACATGTTAAACATTAGCATGTCAATATGCTAACTAAATAGCATGCTACAGCATAGCTTTAACATGTTAAACCATACTTGTAAACATAGGCAAATTAACACACCAATGCTGACATGGTGCTGTAAATGTTAGATGCTAACAGCATTTTAACAACTCGTAGGCTAGTTGTTAATAATGCATGGAAGCGTGATAGGCATGTTAAGATGCTAACACATGTTAGCATTCAGCACAGTGCACAGCAGAGCTTAGGTACAGCTGAGGCTGACAAAGTACATCTCAGACTGGCAGAAACACCCCAAATCTGATGACACAGAGCAGCTGAGCCTGACGGGCTTTGTCTAAGATGCTGGTGGTAACAACATATGGCCTTTCCCCTGGAACCACCCTCAGGTCAAGCTTTAGATTTCTGCCTTGCTAGTGCTGAGGATCTAACAATGAATAGCAAAGTAGTCTATCCATTAAAATCCAATTCTGCTGTCTGGTTTGTAATAAGCTGTATTACCTCCTAATGGAACATGGCCATACACTTTGTTTGTTTGTTTCTGGAGGCAGTAATGCTAAAAACAAATGTCTTAACAAAAAGACAGTTTGGTTGCAGAACAAATTCAAACATAATGTAATGTGAAGTGAAAATGGAGACAAGAATGCTGATGATACTGGGATTTTATGGCTACTCATGTCTTGAATTATGTCTTTACTCCTCATTCTTGTAAGATGGCTTTATCTTTACCGCCTCCATTTTTATCGTGGCACAATGGACCAAATGTCTTGTGGAAAATGTTTTACAGTAGATTCTGTAGGTGACTCAGACAAGATAGAAAATGTTTTTGCAAATCAACATTCAAACTCAAAATGGGAATCAATTCTACAGCATCTATCTTTTTAACAAGACCAAACATCAATGTTCATAGTACTGTATGAAATTCCTTTGGTGTTTTTCTCAAATTAAACCATGATATCATCTGTAAAAACTTTAGCCTTGTCAGATCCAATCAATATACACACATGTTTTTACCATATGTTAGAGTTTGATAGCAATGATTTCTACATATTATTGTTATTTGCTTTTTGTTTCATCTGGGGAAATCTCTCAACCCCACTGTATCACACACTGATAGCTTCTTTAGTATCAACGTTAAAATGTACTGTACAGTTAGAAAATAAAATATAAGTTAAATAAAGGAGAAGTTTGTTCTTAACACCTTCAAATATAGAGAGATGAGGAAAAACTACACTGGATTATTTGGCATGATTAGTATTGCTGGAGCCAAAAGAATTTCAATAAATGGGTTTCCACTGTGGTTATTGCAATAAATGAACTTTCCATTGTAAAAAATAAAGGTTTACACTGTACATATACTTGCATAATTCTTCTTGACAGACTTTTTTTTGGTTTTGTTTAAGTCACAGCTACTATATGTCCATATTGCATTTCTGGATCTTATAATTTTGTGGCAGTGTCTTTAAATCTAGTAAGGTAACCCCTGTATCAGTTTTTATGCTTTAATTCACTAAATGATTCACATGTAACGTGAAGAGTTCAGACACAACTGACTTCAACAAATGTTCAGGTGTGATTTCATCATGTTTCATGGTGGGGAAGAACCTCAGTAAAGATACAGCAGCACTGATCTAATTCTCTTTCAAATGAAAAAGCTGCGTTGTATCCTCCCTTCTGTGCTGGCAGCTCGGGTAACCTTTAAGGAATGCAGAAGATGATGCCAAGATTATTTTGGGCTGAGATTCGGATGTTAAAATAGCAGAAAAGGTTGCAGGGTAGATTACCAAAGAGAACACAGACAGTTGTGTTGTCGACCTACATGTAGCTCTTGTACAGAGACCTTGAAAAGCAACGTTT